TTGCACTTATGCTTTCAAATATAAAATATCAAAATTTACCTGTTGAGGATAGCATAGTGAAGACCTTACGCTTTTTTTTGTTGTTTTTTTAAAAAAATAAATAAATGAAAGCAGTTATTTTATGTCGTTCTTTTCCTTCTCATTTTAAAGGATTCCAGTAGAAACTCTCTGTCGCCACAGTCAGAAAACACACCAAGCCTAAAAAAGAGGGGCTGGTTGACTGTATAATAACGCTGTCTGGCTAAATTATTATGCAGCACTTTGCACATGCTGATGCGTTTTGTCCCCGCAAACAGTCGATTGGTGTGAATAAAACCAGCCATGTTAATTACACCACGATATCGTTTCATTACCAGGAGGCTTTCTAATTAATTGGCTTGGTTTATGTAATGAAGTTTGAAGTATCGTCTTAACCGAGCGAAAGCCACGGTGGACGCTTAATGAGGACTTTGTTTATCTGCAAGTTAAACCGGAGCGGTGACCATTTAAAAAAAAAAAAAAAAAAACAGAGTCAAGTTGTCAGAACAGATATTTTTGTCCTTCCGTTGCATTTTTTGTCCAAACATCCTTGTTTTTTATGTGAGATCAGAGCGATGGAGGGCCTTGTGAAATATCTCCCTCACTCAGATCAAGTGAGTCAGCGCTGAGCTCTGCGTTTCATGCCCAGAGGCCGCCTGCAGAAGGCCGAGACAGATACTTTGGTTTAAGTGTGCCGTACAGCTTTGAGGCTCAGCCTGACCAGGCGGTGGCTTTAAACTGCATGTGTGTGAGAGACTGCCTTGAGCTGTCCTTGGTGCTGAACAGAGAACTCATTAAAAACAAACCGAAAGCAACAAGTTTGTTTTCTTTGTTTTTTTGTCAAAGGAATTTATATTCAAGCGATTGCTGTTGAGCTACTTGTTGTAATTCTTCAGTCCTGCCGGTCAGCCACAGTGCGCTGACGAATGACAGTGCTCCATGTTTTTACTTTTAATGTGATTTGAATCGTAAAAGTGAGCAGATGTGTTTGATTTTTGAAAGTTGGCAGTGCGTAATACGGTCTTCTCATTATAAAGCTAATTTATAATGAGAAATTAGCTTAACTTTTTGGTGTTTCTTCATTGTAAGCAGACAAAATAGCAAGAGAAAAAAATGGTAGAAAACTCAAAAATACATTTATTATCATTAAAGCTTCTAAGGCTTTTAATAAAATCAGTGTCAGATTCAACTAGAAGTAGTTACAGTTGAAAGCTGCTGTGATATATGAAGGAGTCATTCCCAATTAAAATGAATATTTTTGGTATTTAGTGTATTAATCAATGCTAGTCAGTCGTTTGACACAATGCTTTGCCTCTTGATCTTTAGCTTTGTGCTGCTTTTATTTCTAATGTTTTTTTTCCAATTAGTGTTTGGAAACTCTTTGCAGAGAAGTAACTTTTTATTTCTTTTTAAAAGTATTTGTTGGAGCAGCTGTACACCTTTCCACCAACAGAATCACATACTAAAGATCGAAGACACAATTCAAACAACATCGGCTTCAGTCATAATATCTGACAGTAAAGCTGTAACCCTTCAGTCTGCGATTCTTGTTTTTGTTTGTGTTTTTTATAGTCGACAAACTGAAGTAAACCTGTACAGGATTTCTTCTCTCTGCTGCCAACATTCTTTACGATGAGACATATTTTCCCTGCCACCGCCTGTAGCAGATGATTTATCTCTCACCAAATGTAGCAACATATTATGCTGTTTATGACAGCAGACGAGGCTCTGACGGGAATGGACTGGAGACTCGAAGCTTAAACAAAGCAGACAAAACAGGAAAACTTAGGGTGAGTCAAAATCAGATCACCACTTTTTTCGTTTGCGGGATGCATACTCAGAATATGTGTTCACATAAAACTAACACGACACTATCCCTGTTTGGCATGTCCCTAGTGATTATGCCTAGGTGCCTTATTGCCAAAAGTTGCCGTCATGTGTTGGAAGACGTTTACCTAATATAAGGAGGTGACGGGTGTGTGGAAAAGTGCCAGAGCTTATACTTATTCACCATGTGATACTGCAGCACAGCTATCTGTTACATAAAGCTAGAAAAGTAGAACCTTCAAACCACTGGGAGCCCATGCTTCAACCCTTCCAAGCCGAACGTGCCAGGGATGACTCAGCCAAATTTGCCGTACTGTAATTCTGCGCCACTTTGCGCTATCTGAGCCATTGCAACAGTTTCTGAAAGGGGAGACGTTGCGCTTTCCAGCCAATGTCGGGTTATTTCGGTAATTTCACTTTGCACAGCTAAAATAACCTCCTTCTGGATATTTGAAGCTTAGGACTTAGAGGGTTAAAAGTCAAGGGATATTTCATTTGGGATTTTATGTTGCTTGCAGCTTTGATGTCACATGGTTTCCACACTGGAGCTTTGAAACGAACAAATGTTTCAAAGCTACATCAATAATGTTGTGCCATTATTTATTGGAATTAGTTCGTTTGACAATGAAGTAATGAGATAATCATGTATGGTCCCAATCCAGCCAACCAACATGACCAATGGATTTAATTTTAAGAGCTCTACAATATTTAAGATGTGTTGTCCCGTCTTGTTCCGATGAACTAGACGAGTCAGAGACTCAGATACGGGTAAATGTCAAGAGTGATTGGCTGCCGACGAAGAAACTTATTCAAATATTTTCCAGTTTATGGGCGAAAGTTTTCCAGCTCTGTTCAGAGCCAATTAAACTAATGCTGGAGAACTCTGGACTAATGCGATGTGTTTATTACCAAGGCAATTCCATCACCACGCCGAGGATAATAAGGGAAAAACAATTGTGTGTGTTAAAAACTAAATGAAGGTCAGAAACTCTCATTATGTCGAGGTTCGCCATCAACACAATCTATAAAGCTGCTGGTCGATGGGCATCCACTCGTCGCTAACATCCAAAGTACCCGAGGGAAGCAAAGTTAGGAATGAGAGAAAAACTGTTATAGTTGGAACTAATACGGACATTTTTTGTAGGTTTAAAATTGTTTCCTTTAATACAAGATTATGTATTGACCTGCTTCAGATACTTTCCAAAGCTTGTGTAAGACTGAAATATAATAGAGGAAGGGAAAAACAAGTGAAAAAAGTATTTTCTTTTTCACAGCACTAAGCCTCTTTCAGACTAATAACTTCAACTGTAGACAAGAGGTCAAAAGGTGTAAGGAAATCATTGGGTTGTATTGAAAAGGGAAAAAAAAAATTCTAGTTTCTATGTTGTAGATGTTGGGGTTTTATAGGGCACATTCACACTTTCCTTGTTTGGTCCACTTTAATCGAGCTCTGCTTTGCCTAGAAAGTCCAGTTCGTTTGGGGAGTTGCAAGTGTGCAATCCAACTCTGACAAAAGTGGACTCTACTGTAGTTTGAAAGTATATAGAGATGCCAAGCAGCCCGGAGAGTGCTCCAAAACCAGGAAGTGGACTATAGCCCACTGCTTTCTGGGTAAATGCAACCAAAACAAACCCGGGAGTCCAGCACAAGCGAGAGAAATGGCTCGTGATCTTTTTGCCACAGACGAAAGAGAAATCCTGCCATTTGACTCCACCGTGTTTTCGTTAACATTGGAAGAATTGAGTTGTGCTCTGTGTCTTCTTCGGAAGGATTTTTCAGTGATGCTTGTTGCAGAATCGCTGCAACAAGAATTGAGTTGAAGAGGTTCTTCTGAAGGTTTTGTTTTGTCTGACACAGCGCTCAGTGAAAGCGAACAGCAACGTTGCAATAATTTTGATCCCCAATCTAACCGGACGATCAGTTGTGAAAACACTGCACTTCATACACATATTTCTCCATAACAGACATAGCTGATTGCTGAGGTACTGCACGGTTCATGTGTAGCCATATATATGTGTGTGTTTTCATGCACATGTCAGATCAAGATTATTCTCCTAAATTCTAAGCTCTCACTAGCTTCAGGCTCTGATGTTCAGCTGTCTTCCTAAACCTTATGAACAGATTTCCACCATGTTGTCCTGAGCAGACAGGCTTTGTGCTAAAGTGTTTAATTAGATTCCGATAATGATCTGCAGCTCGGATTTCCGCCATCAGACAGTAACAGGGATTAATGCTTCGCCGCGATTGCTAAAATCATGTTTGTGCAATCAGAGGCTCACTTGGAAACTATCGTTTTTAATGTAACCAAACGCCATCCTGAAACTTGACTACACAGCATTGGCGTTGGGGATCTTTTCTTTTTTTTCCTTTTTTGTTATTTCTGTTTTTGTCTACCATCTCCATGTCTCTGATGTTCTTTCTGTACGTGGCAGTTTTCAATTAGCACTTGACAAAAACTAGGGAAAAAAACCCTCATGCATATAGGCCCTTCTCTTGGTCATTGATTGGCCTTCCTCCAGGTGCCACAGCGTGGTGCAAGCTTGGAGACAGTGTGGCTGCTTCCCCTGCTGGAAGAGGTCTCCATGGCAACGGCTAGCCACGTAGTCATGGCGGCAGTTTAGGGCAGGGTGTTGGCAGGAGGTAGAGGACGGGAGGAGACGGAGGGAGGAGGGTGTAGAAAACTCCGGCTCTCTATTAATAGAGAAGCCTGCTGCAGAGAGCATCAGTCTGACCGTCAGCCCCAAACTAACTGTTTTTATTTGTATTTTTCCATAGAAAGGCTTTGGTTCTCTAAATGTTCTCCCTGTTTAGGATCACCGCCTGACTATCGTGTCAGGCGGTTAAATAAGCAGGGCTGTGCAGGTTCAAGGTCCGCAAATATGAGTTCAGGTAGTTTAAAACTAGCGCTGCCAATCGATGAATCACATTCTAGCACTGTGATTAATCGCTATGCTTAACTTTGTAAGTTTGAAAATAATTCCTTTTGTTGTCTCAAACCAAACATGCCAGTTTTGTGTATGATCGCCACCATAATGGCTTAAAGCGATCCAGAAGATATACACTGGTAAACACGTCTGTGAACGAAACCGGAAAGCTTCCTCTGACTCTCTGTTCCTCCTGTAACCGCAGCCTCTGCTCTGTGTCTCCTCGTGCAGGGATCGCCTCCATGACGGTGCCCGTGTACATCGCCGAGGCCTCTCCGCCGCACCTCAGAGGTCAGCTGGTGACCGTTAACACCCTCTTCATCACCGGCGGGCAGTTTACCGCCAGCCTCGTCGACGGCGCCTTCAGCTACATGCGGCGTGACGGATGGAGGTCAGACTCAAATGTTCTCCCCCTGGCCTTTGAGATGAGATCTGTTGCTGCAGCGCACGAAAACTTTGCTGTTTAGATGGCGACGTGCTACTTCTTTTAGAAAAAAAAGCCACTTTTTCAATCTGGCTCTTCCTTGCGTTCTCATTTTTATCAAATACCTCCGCTTAAATGCCAGCGTATGCACAGAGCAGTTCATAACATTTACTAACAGCAGCCGCGTTGTGCAGATAAGACACAACTCTCCACGTCTGTCCTGTTGCGTCTTCATCATCTGTTTATCATCTGTTTGCATCTCCTCTTCTTTGTCGGACTGAATGCAGCATTAATCCTTTCACAGCCTCATAGGATGAGCGAGATAAGAACAGCCCTCTTTCTTTTTTTTTTTTTTGGATCTGAGGTAATTGTCCAGAAAGTGTCTGATTGGTGTGTATTGTTTCTGATTATTATTTTGCGGAGTTGAAAGTTGAAATGTTTCCTGAATGACGTGCCTTCCTGCTGAGTGGAATGAAAAGCCTTAAATATGCACTTTATTTTAATCAGCCCAGCTTTTTCAAGTCCCTGTCAAATAATGTTTTGGTTTTTTTCTGCTTGAATTCTATACAGTTCCTGAACCCAACCTACCCTGGGAAGCATCGTTAGAGTTTCATTAAACAGATTTTGGTCATTAAGGATAATGAAAAAATTCCCATCAGTAAAAATGTACATCAATAAGTTAGACTCTATGCTATTTATTATGCAAACCCTTCACATGGTTATGAATATAAGCAATCTGGATGGATCATTATTACTGTGTTGGAGTATCTCCAGTCATCTGAAGTTAAAAGGTGATTGAGTGCTGAATAAAAACAGGCAGAATTTACTGTGACCAGCCATTTGGGTATTGCTTTGGCATAGAGTGCTTTCGCTACCTGTGTAATGCCTCAATATTTTCCTAAATGAAAAGCTTTAGAGAACAGCGTCAAGACTGTTTTCTCAAGAACTTTCTCCAGAACTATAACAGACAGCTTTTAAAGGTTCTGTGTGTTAGCCAACACAAGCCGTTCTTGCATTGCTTCGGTGTGGAGTTATTTTGATTTTCACTTGTGGAGGTCGTAGTGACTGAGTTTTATGCACTAAACTAATTTCTGTACTGTGACGGTTACAAATACATGAAATGTTTCCCCTATTGTACATTTTAAGCCTGGCGGGCCACCGTGCTTTTACTTAGGCCCACGATATTTCTTTAAGTTTAGAATGTTTGCATTTTTCAAGGCTTTGTGGTTGGTGTTCAGGTATTGATCTTTCAATCTTTCAATAACACATTATTATCAAGTGATGTTTTCAAATTTCCTGTCAACTTGAAACATTTTTAACTCAAAAACATGGCGGGCCCCTGGACATATGTCTGCCCTTTCGCCCAACTAACGGGCTTAGCGAGTTTTCAATGGGAAACCTTTCCTATTAAAAATTGGGCAATAAACTGAACTATTACCTTCAGTTTATTCCCTGAACGTAATAGGCCAAATTCCGTTGGCCTTTTATGTTCAGGGAATAAACAAATTGAAATTTGAATTCCCTAATTAGCTTTGAAGCACAAGAATTCAATAAACCCTTACTAATCCTGCTATTGTTGAATTTTAATGAGTCAAACCAACAGCTGAGAAACAAAAGCTAGGCCTGTTCAAAGATCTCATTCCGCGCATTCTCTTTGTGTCCAGGTACATGCTGGGTCTCTCCGTGCTTCCCGCCGCGCTCCAGTTCGTCGGGTTCCTCTTCCTGCCGGAGAGCCCCCGCTGGCTGATCCAGCGGGGGCTGACCCAGAAGGCCCGCCGGGTGCTCAGCCAGATCCGAGGCAACCAGAACATCGACGAAGAGTACGACAGCATCAAGAACAGCATCGAGGAAGAGGAGAAGGACAGCGGAGGAGGTGAGGCTGACAATGCGATCAGACAGAGCTCGGTGTTTCATTTCAGCAGGTCGGAGATGCAGACAGAGAGATCTCTGACTTCCTTTGATCACTGCAGGTTCAGTGTCGTGTCTTTGTGGAACCACCTATTGTTGGTCTTTCACATTAAATTCCAATTAATTATATTTATCTTTGTGGTTTTAATGTGACAAAATATGGAGAAGTTGAGGCGGTATAAATACCTTTGCAAGCCATGGTAATATTCAAACATCTTTTCGCATTAGCTAGTCCCTCCAAGGTTTGGTGATTGTTTTTGTGATTTTTCAATCAAACTCCCAGATTTTTGTGGCGCTGATTTAGAAATAATTTAAAGAAACCTTTCCAAAACGAACGTCAAAGTAAGACAGAGGAAACAGTGTAAAAATAAGAAATATGGCCACCGTGAATTGGCAGTCATTTTCATGTTAAAAAAATAAAATATTAAATAAACTCACAGCAGGGATTTTGCGAATAACTGGAAGAGCTGATTTATGTAATTCGGAGAAGTGCTGGAGGAGTCCACAAAGACTTCCTCAGCTTGTTATTAACAACTCCCTCTCTGACGGAATCAAGACCCTGAGCTTTGAAGACAGCGGCTCGCTTTTCCATCCCTTTGATTTCGTCCACAGTGAGGCTGATCAGACTGTTTATGTTCTCCTCCTGCGGAGCCGTGAAGTCCTTCCTACAGGAGGAACACAAAATCATTCACTTGCCTGCTGCTGCAGACTCAGAATCATTCTGCTGACCTGCCAGTCGCACAGTTTGAGCAGTAGATCACAGGGTGCTCTTACTGCTGATTTCAGCTGCTACTTGATGTTTACTTGTCATTTTTCTAGCTTTTTAAAAATTGTCACAAAAGGATTGTTTTCTTTACAAGTAATCCCAACCAAAGCTTGTTGATAAAATCTGAGGTGCAGTAGCTTTACATCATGTTAGAATGTTATTCCCTCATCAGAAATATACCTTTCTTTCCCACTCGACTACTTCAGACTAGCCAGCAACAATTAGCAAACACCTGGTGGAATATCTGCTGAGCTCATTATACAACCTACTTCTATGTGCATCGCTGGTATAAACCTTGCTAAAGGGTTAAAAGAGGAGCCATGTCGTGATGACTTCCTGAAGGCGGAGTTTCAGAATTTCTTTTTTAAAGAAATTTAGGTGAGTGCAAAAAGAAAGGAATGTATGATATGAATGTTAATTTAGTGGACAGAAGGTGAACAGATTTTTGCGCTCCACGTTCAGGGTCGGTGTTCGCTACCGGCCGTTTGGAGACATTGGAGACGCGCAGCATGCCGACCTCGTCGTCAGAACAGCGGTCCGCTCGGCTTTGTTATCTCATCCTCCATTTGTTTCACTCGTGTCTGATCTTGATCTTCCTGTAATCCTTCTATAATCCGCACACGAGCTGATCCGAGGACGCAGCAGCACAAGCTAATCACATGCAGACAAATACCTACACTTTTACAATAGGTAATGTTTTTTTTTTTTTTTTTTTTTTGGGTTATCTGTGTTTGGGGAATGGGGGGAAAAAGACGGTACCTTCCACTTGAACTTTTTCACACTTAAACTTAAATATCCAAGAGGTTTAGCTAAGGGAAATGGGTGAACGAACCATTGCCACATTATGAAGTTTTTGCACCTTCTAAATCAGCTTGTATTTAGATTCTTCTATCTTGGGCAACTCAAAATGAAGAAATATTAAGTAACCTTGAAAGCAAAAAGTGTAGGTTTTCACTATGTTGTTTTTATTTTTGTCAATTAAGAGCAGTAAAATATTAACGTTGGCTTTTGTCAGCATCTTGGTGAAGATGCTTTAGAGGAAATCACCAATAAGCCAACAGCCAGATGTCGATGGTTATTCGTTTTGAAAAGGTTGTAAAACCGTCTGTTGAGAGCTCGGCCTCCACCACCAGATGATGGATTGTGTTCGCATCGTGGAGCTCTCCCAGACGTATTCATCTAAAGGCCACATGCGCAGATGCAACAGGTGAAAGCCAGTGAGGTCACAAAGTAGCAAAGTCTCAAGGCGCTGGTGTCAAAGGTCTGCATCACAAGCTCCAAAAGAGAAAGGAAATACCATGAGCACATAGCGCTGTTGATGAAAACGTTTTGAACTTTTTAATATCAGTTTGATGAGTATGTAGACTGATGTATTTTGCAAAATTCACATTTTGCACGTTTTTGGATTTTTAGCCAAAGTGCTTAAAAACGTCCTAAAAAACATCTATTCTTTTTTTTTGGCAGTAAGTTAATGTTTTTTGGAGTCTGAAAAACAAAGTGCTTTTAACATTTTCCACTTTACTTAGTGAGAACTTGTACTTTCGATTTTACCCTGGACTAAAACAAGATCAAATTTTGTGAATAATTCAGGCTAATGTGATGACACGCAACTACGACAACGAACAGAACCCTACCTGAGGTTTGTTAGCTATCGCTGTAAACGACCCAAAACGTCTGACGACCATGTAAAAACCAAACCGTGTCGCTGTTCCAGAAAATCCATCAAAGCTGTGGTAAAGACGAAGAGTAGGGGCGACAGGAACATTTACAGAAGTTAAACATCACGGCGTCGAATGGAAAAATAAACGCACTGGGTCACACCGAGCAGCATGAGTGGATCCAAAAGGTCAGTTAATGTTTTATGCGTTGTTTGTTTATTGTGTCTGATTTCGAGCAAAGTCAAATAATGTGAGATCAAAGGTCAGCTTTTTGTAAAAAGCCTTGTTATAAAAATGTCAGGCTAAAAGAAAGGGTAACATTTTCTTCTCTAAAATGTGAAGAAATCCATTTTGAGAAAAGAAAGCAGGACATAACAAGATTTGCACGGACAACTTCCTAAAGGTCGTCTAATCCGTTGTGAGGAAAGCTTCACATTATTAACTAATCCATCCAGGTGTTTTCTTATATGTCACATTTGAGTTCTTTATTATTGTTGGAAACATTAATTTCGTTTCTCAGAGTTACTACTGCAGTAGGTTGTTGCCATATGAATTCATTCCTTTGTGCATTCCGTTCTTGTGTTTAGTTTCTACAGCAGTGTGTTAAGGGACGTTGTAGATAAAATAAAATAAAATAAAATAAAAAGTGAATTTCCATCCAAAAATTTTCAAGAGTAAAATACGTATTTGCTAGAATCAACTCAGAGATTCTGAGATTAATCGCAGTAATAATCTAGAATAGAATTTTTGAGCTTTAAAAGTCAAACATTCTCAAGAAAAACATGTCAAACTCAGAAAGTTTTTTCTAGAAAATTTCTGAGATTAATCTCAAAATGATGGAGTTTCTTCTTCTTCTTGGCCCTAGTGCACTGTTGCACTTTTCCCAGTTGGTTTCTTTGTGTAGTTGTGCTTTTTGAAGGTCTTGATTTGCACTACCGCCACCTATTGGAACGGATTGTGGCTTGGGATACTAATTATACAGATGTATAAGCTAAACAAACATAAAACAGATATATTTTGTTTCTAGTTCAACTTCTTTCAGTCTGCCAGTTTGCTTTCTCCCACTTCCTGTAGTTTTCTTAGTCATTTCAACCAGAGACATTCAGCTGACACTTTAATTTATTTTTTTGTAATTCCAATTTGCACACCTCTATTCATCCCCACTACATGTTTCCATTTTGGTCGTGACACGTTTTCTTTGGAATAATCTTCTTCTGTGTGAGGTAGAAGAAGGATGTTTCACTGTGCAATTAAACCTACGTTTTTCTGCTTTTTGCTCGTTGGTTGAGTTAGTGAGATCATTTTCTAAAATTCACAGAGAAAAACGTAAAACAGGTCAGATTTCCGCAATTGCCATCAATCCGAAAAAAAAAAAAAAGCAGGTGAACCAAAATGTCAGCTGAGAAAACGATCTACTGTGAGCAAACCTCAAATTACAAAACAAAAACAAAGAATGCTTTAAAGTGAAACTTTTTTTTTCCTGTACATGCTTTTGGCTCAAATGTGAACCAGCAACTCTGAGCATAAGTTGTGTGTGTGTGTGTGTGTGTGTGTGTGTGTGTGTGTGTGTGTGTGTGTGTGTGTGTGTGTGTGTGTGTGTGTGTGTGTGTGTGTGTGCTGCTTTTCTCCTGGTCCTCAGCCGAGGATGAGCTGCAGCGACAGAGAGGACAAGCGGGCGAAACGAAAACGAGACCAGTGGACTCACACCGAGTCCCACCAGAGCCCCGGCTCTGCCTCTCTACATCACAGTGTGATTATTTGTGAGCGTGTGTGTAATAAGAGGAGGCTCTTCGCCGTGGCCCGTGGCGACCTCGGGGACGGCACAGATGCCGTGTCTTCCAGAGACGTGTTGTTCTCTGTTGTCAAGGTTGATTAGTTGAGGGATGAATCCAATTTGCTTTTCTTTCCTCTTCACTTCTTACCTCGGGCTTCTTTCTACTCTTTGTCCTCCGTCAGGTTTTGCTCTGTGGCTCTCTGCAGCATCTCAATCCCAAAACGGTACAAGGAGAACTTGCATATAAAACGGATTTATTGTGTCCAAGAGATGGATCTCCGTTCTCGTCTGGAATCTTTTGCAGATTCCAACATGTTTTCTTTCAAGGGTTGAAGACTGCATGATGCTGACGGCACTATTTTCTTTGATAAAATGAAGACTTTCTTTCAAATTTGAAATACAGTTTTCACTTAATTTGGAACATTTTCAGGAAATATACATATTTGAGACAAAATCAGCTTATCTTTTTCACATTAGCGTTTTTTTTTTTTTTTTGGGTTCGGTCACTAAACCAAAACTAAAATGTTTGCCTGTAAATTGGTCTGAAAAACTAAATCCTGTGAAAGGTTGAAGACAACCTGGCAGAACACAAACGTGTCTGCACGCGGCATACGCTGGAAAAAGAAAAGTGTACAGGTTACCATAGAAACAATATTTCACACTGGCTTTTTCGTCTTACCTTGGAGATTAACAATGACCAGTTTCCAGCATTTCATAATGGAAGACGGCGGCGAGTCAAGAAGCTGACATCAGCAGCAGGAAACGTCTCTGGGGGTCAAAAATCCATCTATCCAAATTTAGATGTCTGAGACACTTAGATTCTTTTTTCAGGATATTTTATTATTTAATTCTCATTATCGCTTTTGACACATCCACTTGCTTTTACTGTTTTATTGCGAAGCCTGTCCGCTCCGGAGTCGACGAGCATAAATAGCCGCCTCTCACACTAAGTGGTAAAGAAAGAAGCCGAGGCTGGAGATGAAGAGAAAGTGAAGTGGAAAATGAAGGCGTTGGGACAGCAATTATGACGGAGAAGCAACACCCAGAAA